AGTCTCCTCAGGAGACTAATTCTAAAACACACCAAATTTAGTGCAAAATAAAGCAATAAATCACAGACCCTAAAACATAAACAAATAAACAAGACCAGACATATAAACTCAAATTCCAAATGCAAACAAGATCAGACCAGGATCACAAATGCAAACTTACATCTTTTGTCATCTTAAAATGGCTGAGAGTGAGAGCCTAGAAAGGACTGAGATTAGAGAGCACAGCTCAGCTTGTGAATAGCCTGAAGATAAAAAAGAAGATAAAAGAAGCACATGAATCACACTTAGCTTGTAACACATTTTAAAAAATAATAACACATCAAAGAACACATGAAGCACATGAACAAATAAATAATAAATAATAATCTAAAGCACATGAACTTGAGTGAATAATCTAAACGTGATCACAACAAAGCAGACTTGTTACTTATACGGACACATGTACATAAGTGAATCAAGACATGTTACAACAATCTCAAGAACACGTATTTTAGACAAAACGGTTAGCAGACTGTTCCTTAACTAAAGTAACACCATGGTTCCCTGCAAATAAAAAAGATCTTACAAGTTACCTATTAACTCATTTTATTTTCTTTCTACTTTTACTTAGTTTGCTAGTTCGCATACAAATATTTCCAACCACTCATCAGTTGCTTGCAAGTTGCAGATATATATACATCACTCGATATTGTAGAGAATAATACAAATATTTCCAACCACTCATCAGTTTCTTACAAGAGAGAGAGAAGCTCGTGTAAGCTTTGAATCAAGAGTGAGAGCTTTGAATCGAGAGTGAGAGCCTGAGAGCTTTGGAGGAGAGAGAGCTTGAGAGAGCTGGAGAGGCCAAAGAGAAGTGAAGGCAGTAAAGCACCTATCAATTAACAAAAAAACACTTCATCAAGATCGGCACACTTTATCTTAGCTTCAAGGAAACAAAGATAACTGCATCAACAAACAAACGAACAACCAAACCATGAACTTAGAATTGATGATATATTAACTTATACTAGCTACTATCCAGAAACCACATCTCAATGGCATTATACCAAATGGCAACTTCAAAAATTTTAATATATATATAATAGTTTCACTGCCATCTGTTCACGTCTCCAAACTCTGTATTAGTGACACATAAACACATTGAATCACAATAAAATAAAATAAAGAATCCAACTTCAGCATTACCCATTAACATAAACCCATAACAAGACCGAACTAAGACTTGTGTAATGAAGGAAACATAAAAGAAAGAAACTTTACACACAAAAAAAAAACAAAGCTTGTCAACTTGCAAACAATACCTAGAAACCAAGATTAGATATTTATGAAAAGATTGTAATACCTGAAGAACTAGTTGCTCGATTCAATCTCCTCTGTTTACGATTCAGAGAATACACATCAAATCAAAAAATGAAGCTTACGGGAATCCAAAATGACTGAAACCCGTAAGAAATCAATCGTAAACATATACAGTGGAGAGAGAGGAAGCTTACGGGAATCTGAAGAGGGTCGATGAGAGATACCTCTGAAGCGAATCAAAGACGAGAGAGTGAGTGTTTGGGTAAAGACGAGGGAATGAGTGCTTGAGGCGTCGAGGGAGAGAGCTTGAGGCGTCGAGAGAGAGAAGCTCGATGCATAGGAGAGAGAGAGAGAGAGAGAGAGAGAGAGAGAGAGAGAGAGAGAGAGAGAGAGAGAGAGAGAGAGAGAGAGAGAGAGAGAGAGAGAGAG